CTGAGACCCTACAACTACTACGACCTGGACCCCTCTATATACTCCCACGATGGTGTGTTTTTCACCAGCGAGCAGGACTTCATGGCATGTGAAATCAACCCTCTCGCCTGCCTGCCCAAAACTGCCTCTTGTTTGCCGAACTTTCCCCCATTCACCTATGATGGTTTTCAAAACACGAGCAGGCTTTAAATGCCACAGGATGGTGTGAGGAGATGCGGTCAGAGACACCAGGTTGACTGTTCTGTCTCAGATTTTCATTTTTTTATAGCGAAGTCGTCTCAATTTCCAGTTGTGCAATGACTTCACATTTTATCATTGCTTTTGAAATAGTGCTCTTGAAAAAGGAAGCGTGATCTTCCTGGCATGATGCCACATGGGAGTCTATGTTATAGGTTAATTGCTGAGTTTGAGTCCGTTTCAGGAGGAAAGTGAGGAGAAAATGCTGTTCCTCTGCTGTAGAAGTGCTATGTAGTGCATATCTCAGGTTAAAATAATGAAAATGGTTCTGGTCCAGATCTTCTCGAGTGTCTCGTTCTTACAACTCAAAGCAGTGTCTCCTGGGGTGGGATGCTGGTCTCTGCCATGTGCCCTGTGCCCACAAACCAGCCCAGCAGTGTGGTTCTGGGTGCCCGTCAGGGCATGGGTACGTCCAGCTGGAGGGCAGGAGAGATGAGCTTGGGGTGTCCTGGGGCTCTGGTGCCACGACCGAGGTGGGCACTGGCACCAAGCCCTGTGGGTGTTGGGGGAAGGCTGGGTTCAGGGCCAGGACCCCACGGGTTGCAGCTCTCAGACACTCAGTGCTGAGCACAGGGGGAGGGATGCAGAGGGGACCTGTGCAAGGTCTCACAGCTGCTGGCAGTGCAGCAGTGTCAGGATGGGGCCGTGGTGCTGTGCTCAGCGCTGCTCTGCATGGGGAGGGGTTATCTCCGAGGCCACTGCTGCCTGCCCAGCATCTGCAGGGTTAAAAGGAGGAGGAGCGGGGAGATGGATTTATTGGATGGATCCATCCCCTTTAAGCACTGCAATGGATGTT